AAYYKCRTWKCKAAKKWWAAAAAAAAACACGAGAAAATGTTGTTAGTACAATAGCGCTAACAATTCACATTTTCCCCGWGTTGAGGCTAACCCTGTATTCCCAGAAGGCTAATACCTAAGGTCTTATGGAAATACAGGGRTAGTCTCGACTCGTGGAAAATGCAAATTCTCAAGGCTATTGTAATAACGACATTGCTCGTGRTCTATTTTGTGTTTGGTCAGGTCCTGCGCAAGAGAATCTGTTGTCAAATATAGAAGCGGTTTTTCGCTATGAATTCGAAACTGGAATATTAGAATATTCATCAAGGATTTGAATAACTATATTGCACATCTAGTAAAATTAGAAATAATATTTATTCTTATTACAATTTTACACCTTTAATCACTACTTAATTATTAGCTTAAACTTAGCCATTCTTTTTATAAATGAAGTATAAACTTTCCATTCAATAAATCGCTTTGAATTGTAATTTTCACTTGAGTCGGTCCTGCAACTTTATTGGTAACAAGAACACACATCTATCTTAGCTCCACATATATGTTTTGTTTCCTTTTTGCATTTTAAATCTATATTTGGAACACCAACTATGCAAGATCTTCCTMTAGGGTGTGGCTTACAGCTGATAGCGTGCCATACTTTCTCTCTGTCTGACACTTTACGTTTCTCTCTTTTGTCGAGACAATTAGTAGGTATTGTTGGTACAATACAATTCCTTTTTGATTGGTCCAATTTCCAGTTTTGAGATAATATATTATTTCGAATATAATGGTTCTTCGTCTGTCCTCTAACAGCTCTTGGGAAGAAAAAGTCATTTTCAGACTCTACATTGCGTCGATTCAGCGCATGGACCTCCAGTAAAACCTATGAATAGATAATATATAATAACAATGTAATATACAGTATTCATACCTTAGAGRGAAGTTATTAGAGTGAAGCCAACAATCCGTGAAATAGATATTCTTCTACGATCATAGCAATTGTTTTGTGTTTATTTATCTATTTATTGTGTTTCAAGTGTTTAATGACTTCACTCTAAGATATAAGTACAGTAGACGCATTTAACCCGTGAAACATTAACTGTTAAACAATTTAACAAATTGSGAACGGTTTTGAGTTGTATGTCCTCTTATTGACACAATCTACTCAGCCATTCAGTGCGCGAGCGAGAATTTACACAAGTGTCGTAAAAACTACTCTGAAATAAAGAAAAGGAAACAACTGTTCCACGAGTTCAGTGTAACTTTAATACGTATTAAAAGTGTTATACTTTGACTAATATTGTTTCACAMATATTAAGTATTTATCAAAATAATTCTCACTGTCCAGCTGGGTGTGTCTYCTCTCTTTCGATACCATTGAAGTCGATAAAGAGTTGAGAGTTATAAGTCCGTGAAACAAAGTTKAATAGTCAAAGTGTAATAAAAAGTGATACACCGAAAAGATAAAGAAAAACGTCCAAAATACAGAGAAAAAGTGTGTAGTACGCTAAAGTGCATTTCACTGGTTGTCAAGCCAGTGTTATTTTACTATATTTCACTCGAATCATATGAAAAATTCGCGTTATTTGAAATCGCTCTGATGGATAATGATGGTGGAGGATATGATACCACTGATGACGAGGATGATGATAATGATTATAAAACCCTGTAGCATTCACCTATATTGTTTAAACTTACCAAAAATACAGTAAAAGCAACAAGAATCTTGGAAAACTCCATCCCCGTGTCTAGAGGTCGAAATGGTAGAATATAGTATAGCTACTAAGTCAAAGACTCTGTAACTCCAATGTAGAATAGATAGAGGTACAATTAAATTAGCCCATAATACAAGTGGTCTTTTATTGAGTATGCATGCGTGGATGTAGGTCCCGTTAGTTCCAGGTACTCCGGACACTCCATTTCCTTCCTTGCACCCTTATCTTAGAACTACTTGAGRTCTGCATCTGGTCTTCGCCTATTTTAGAATAGATGAAGTTAAGAAGAGGTTCAATTCAGAAAATAACGCTTCTCCACTTGATTTATCTGTGTTGTACTTGAGTGGAGTCGCGATAACATCTTGAAGGACTAAACTATCAAACAGTCATAATTATTATATTAGGAAATTAAGCTATTTTTATTCARTTGCTTGTTATCAGAATATCATATCCTGTATGTTGCAACTCGACTATTTGCTTTTTTGAAGTGTTTTTTTTTTTCAACAGTCTCAATTCAGGACATCCTATCTAGTAATCGATAAACACCTACTCTCTTTTTCTATTATGGTCCAAACTTCCATACACGGTCTTTGTGACATCACTTCTGGTTTCTATATTCTGGTCATGATTGACCAGTATCGTTTATTGATAATCGAGTGAGTTTAAGTTTATTTTGTGATTACGAGATAACTCTCCTCGCAGTAATATCTTGAGAAGTGATAAGCCTAAATTGCCTTCCCTCATAATATTAAGAGAATGATGTGATGTCCTATGCACGACTTTCCTCGGAAAAACAGGCATAATCTTCTGTTGGTTGCCTCTCACTCATGGAAATCATGTCCCTTAGTACGCTGTACATGTAAACTTGAGCTTGTTCTCGATTCAAAATGGAGGCCGTTAAATTGAGCAACCAATCAGAGGAGCCGCTCAATCTATTAACCAATCACTGAGGTCGCCCAGTTATACAGGGCTTCTTAAAGGGCTACTTGGACAAAAATTGCCAAACATTAGAAAAGACTTGGAAATCAAATAGACCTATCCATATGAGTGTAATAATCATGAAGCAACATATTTCAAGAAGATATTGATACAAATCCTTAATAATTTGGGCAAAAAATGTTGGAGTAGATGACGCCATTTACTCCATCCTTTTGTTCTTCCATCTTTTGAATCAAAATTTCTCTGACGTAGGATAATTCCAAAACAAATATTTTCCCGCAATTGTTTTTAATAGATATCAATGAGTCATATATTTGTATTGCTTGAAGTTTTGAAATATGACCATTTTCATGCAAGTAGCACTTTAAATGACTCCAATATCGTAAAAGTTATCCGTGTACTAATTGTATCTAAAAGAGCTAGGTAGAATAATACTTAAGGAAGCTTTTGATGTTTATTAAATTTTGTCATAGCACATATTTCTGGGAGAGGGAAGCCAACCAACGACAGAAGATTGCACCTGGTRTCCAGAGTTTGATGTATMTCAACGAATCAATGACTGTAGATTGAACATGTGGAATTTTACTAGTAGACAAATAATCCTCTAGGAAAAGAAAAACTATCTAACAGACCTAATCGGCTTCAACCCAATTCAAACCACCCGGGAGAAAGTTTCACTGTACGTTGTATTTTCATTTCACAGTTGAATTCTTAGAAACAAAAGTTCTTTTTCCCACAGGATTTGAATTGGGTGGCAACGCACATAACAACGACGTTAGCCGATTAGGTCTATTAAATGAACTATCTATATTGCTACCATCAGTCAATATATCAAAGACAACACATTTTGTTGTTTCAAAACCTTGTGGAAGCTACAATTGTAGCTCTTTTGTGGCACCTTGTTAGTAAGCGAGAAGATGGCAGACTATGGTGTAAAGGGCACCTCTGAAGGATGCCAAAAATCGTGGCAAAATCAAACTGACAGTTATTTTTTGACTTTATTCAATTATTGTCATGAGCATCCTCACATTGATCAGATAATTTCCCAACATGCAACCCGAATCCTTAACGACTTGTCCACTGACATGCGCACTATCGATATCAATCAATAAACGTTTAATTGTTTTTTAATCATTTATTAGTTATTAAAACAACAGTTCACCCGATGGGATATTTACATTTGCAACCGGTAATAATTYTTCTCCCTTTGWAATGTTCAAGTTTTTCTGGTGTACATTCAGCCGTTTTCTTAGCACCCATAGCACAGCCTGCCCAAGCTACATCATGACACGATAAATTGAACACTTTCTGTCCTTTCTCTACCCATTCATCGAGATTCACGCATGGATGTTTACGGTTGACATTGTTTAAGATCTTTTGCGCCTTAGCTCTCGGTATACTCGTGGACAAAAGGTACTGACGGACATATATATACTGGCTATCTGATGTCATTTCCTCCGGAAATACGTCATCTAAATTGTCATGATCTGAAGTYATTTCCGGTGGAAGTACACTACCTAATTGGTTCAAAAGCTGTGAGTCTTTTTTCCTTTCAGCAAAATTACTCATTTCTTTAGAGCTTGCTTTGCCATTGGCCATGACGTCATATCCYGGATCATCTTGAAATAGATAGTCTTTATTTACTTGCGGGTTCGTCTCCTCTTGAAATGTCCCGTCGGCATCATATTGAGGTAGAGCAGCAATTTTCATGCACACCTGCAGCTGAAAAAGTAATTTCAACTAATTAAAGAAGCTAATATCAAGTTATTAAAGAAAGATGTCAATTGAGCTATGCCATGTGAAATAGCTTCCTGCTTCTTCCAGAAATAGTGGAGACCGATTGGAATGCTGGGAGTTTAGTAAATATTAGCAAACACGTCTTTAACAGCTGTTGCCATCATTTTACAAAACTGATATGCAAAAGGTGTTACTGTTCAAAACGTATACGTGAAAGAGTTCGAATAGCTATTTTCGAATAGAGTTACAATTATAATCAATGGAACTGTCAAATTCAAAAGTCAGGACATAATGCGAAAAGGTTTCTACTTGTTTGAACACGATCTATTTGAAAAGACCTGTTGATTACCATCTGACGGCAATAATCTAAGATCAAATGATCTTAAAAACTGAATTATTATTATCATCACTATCAGTATTCGGGTAATTTACATTGAGAGTAAAATTTCAATTGAGGACATTTTTTTTCGCGCCGTTCAGTATTCATCGTCTTACAAATTATTTTTGTTAAATTACACCATTGTATWGTGAAGAAGTAAAACTAACATTTTGAAATACTTACTATAAGAAAAACAAGAAAAGTTGACTTCCAAAGGCCCATATTGAATAGTGCACCTTGAGATGTTATAAAAGCAAGTGCCCTGAGAATGGTCCTTTTTATATTTAACCAAATCACGTGACACGAAAAGCGCGCGCTTCAGTATCTACCAATGTAGATTGACCCTAGGCGGCGACACATGTGTAGATTTTGCTCAGAATTGAATTACTTTCACATGGCATGGAACAGCGTCAATTGTAATCAATTGTAATAAGGATGGTAAATATTCACAGTATTTTTAGAAATCTATTGGAAGCATTCATCMTTCAAGCACACATCAAGTGGGTATTCAAAATATAAACTGACTTTATTCCAGACGTCAGTGTGTTATCCTTAATTCATGAAGAGACTGTATGAAAAGGAAAGATGATGGGTGCTAATCGCTCTGCATCGCAACGGGGGTGCTGTATTGCAACAAATAAACAAAAACAAACAGAAAATCATGTGTTTATACAGCGTTTACAATCAATGTGTCGTTAATAAACTAAGAAATGAGACACATAGGAATATAAGATGGACTTGGAAGTCATGAAGGGATCAAGAGGAAGTCTTTAGTAGATATAACGTGCTTATGAGGCTCAATAAAGGCTGAAGCAGCTGTCCAAAGTCTCCAGTTGAGCTGGCTCAATTTTTTGCGCGACTTCAAAATCATCTTTACTGCTAATCATAATAAACGTTGTAAGACCTTGTAATGACTGCACGCCTTAAATTAATAGTGACTGGCCTGATAAGTATGCATTGGTGATAATAAGTAAACGTTTTAAAATTAAATTAACCATTACGTCGCCACCTTCTGCCGACAATTAACGATGAGCGCTGGTCGACTTCCGTAAGTCAGCTGTATTGAAGGCTATAGACTTCAAAGCATTAGGCAGATTGGTATAAAAGATTACTATTAAAAAAATAGTGAAACACAGAATTGATGATTATATAGTATAATGTACTTAATATAAACTCTTGAAAACTGTTTAAAGATTTCAAAAGATTTTGCTGTGTAGGAAATATTTCACTTCGTTGATTTTTTTCATAAAGCTCTCATATGTAGCGGCTGCTAATGCTCGATTCCTGTCCGGTTAAAATTACACCAGAATAAACATTGACATAAACAATCCTAAATTTCTTAATAGAAATGATATATATCTGCTAACTTATATATTGGGGTTGTTGGTATTTAGTCAAATTTACCTCCCTTAATTTGTTATAAAGCTAATGATTACGCTCAAATAAACTTTAATAAACATAATTTAAAGTATTCAAATGATTTGCGAACAATATTTCGAAAGAGATATTGGTATTTAATATATAATTATATGATAAATTTTAATATGTTGATGAACGTGATATAACTAACCAAGCAAGTAGGAGTGCGATGCAGCGAATTGTTGCTGAAAAATGGAGAGATGAATGAATGAGCAGAGTGAATAAATGAATGGATATGAATGGACGAACAGAAAGGACGGACCGGTTGAGCGGGTAGATGGATGATACGTAAGAACTGATCTGAATAAATTGATGAATGATGAACTAATATATGGCTACGATGCTGGTCTTGTTCCTAGGTTTGGGTTTTCTGTGTAAAAACGAATTTTATAACACAGGGATCCCACGTGTGCAAAATTAGTGTGTGGGATTTTTATTTACCCCGGCTGTAATTTGAATATGACGTCGTGCTATGAGTCATAGGCTATGACGGCATGCTATGACGTCATACTGTCAATCAAAAACTTCAGAGGATGTAATGAGTAGTGTTTTGGCAACTATTCATTTTGGACTAGTATCCGAGCGATATACTAAACGCCAAACTCCTTTCGTATTCGTTATCTACGAACTGTACGGATCAAGGTATGTAGTGTCGTATTACGTACGTAATGCGCACGTACTTCAGTTATTTTTAACGCAAAGTTTAACATGCGCGTAGAAAGCAATTAGTCGGAAGCAAGCGAAGAGATTTCAGAAACCATATTTTAGAGTTATAATTCAGTTTTCAACTTAATTTGCCGGCTCTATATATGCTTTTGTGTCAGTTTAATAATGAAATGTGAGAAAATATATATCTCAAGCTTCTTTTCTTTTATTTGTATTCACCAAATAGAACTCGTCAAAATCATATTGATGATCATATCTTCGCACTTTAATATAATATTTTTTTCTCTCTTCTTTGAATTGGTTCTCGCCGTGAAACACATTCAGCGGCGTATTGCATCTTCTTACTATGTCGTGCATTTTGTTTCAAGGGTTTTTAGTTTTCGGCGTAAACCATTGAAATATACTTTAACGTACTTTCCTTGCACATATTCCTTTTCTTTGTCGTGGTATGGCACTCTTTGCTTTGCTTCTTAGCCTTGATTTTAAGCCGATTTTAAGCGGGTTTTCTATGATTTTAACTAGAAAAAAGAACTGTTAAATTACTTTGTTTTTTCATCATGATTCAACGTGTTCTAGCAACCAATACAGCTCATATTAGGTAAACATCATCGACACTTAAACGACAAAGATACAATCTTAATTAAAGCTTATATTTAAAGAAGAAAACTAATTGCAACTTCTTTCTGTTTTTGACTGCATTATGACCTATTAGTAATGAAGGAAATAGAAAAATTAGCGGGAGAGTTTACACGCGCTTTCTGTGAAGTTGTTACGTGTGTTTGGACAGGAAGTTCGCTAGAGTTTGCGTTTTGTTCAGCTGAGCTAAGAAGGATAAAAAGGTGTACGTCTATTATAGTTCAATAGAAGTGAAAATTACAAACATAAGTTGAATATATCTTAAAACTTCAGTTAGGTTTTTCAGTCAACTAATAGACGTTCACCTTTTTAAAATTTTTTAATGCTGATAAGCATTTCCTATCAACAATTATAATTCGCGATACTGAAAACGTGTTGGTTTGTTAAGATATTTATTATTTTTCTTCAGATGAAAGTGTCAATCGCCGTTATCCTATTGGCTGCCTTTATAGTGGTGACGTCACTGGAGCCCGCATATTCAGATCCAGCGGTTCAACGCAGAAGCTACTGCCAAGGATGCTATGACTATTATGATCGCTGTATGGGTGAATGCAGTGGAATGGGATGTATGCGCTGTCAACGAGTCAAAAAATCTTGTGATTATCATTGCTCAGGATAAACCTCCGGGATAAACGAAAATTGTATCATAATTTGATGAATAAACGCCTTCTTTAATCGCGTGAAATGTCGGGCTCCCTGTGTTGTGTAACAGATTGCTCTTAAATATCTTAAATATATTATATATTGATTGTTCAGCACATTACAATGAAAAACCTAAATAATACGTTTATATTCATTGTATAGCTCTTATAAGATGAAGAATAGCTCTGATTGGCACGTTGTCTTACAGTTTGGGTTTCCTGTGTTCTGCAACCTCTTACCCAGGACTTTCTCTTCCTCGCTATTTACAACGCCATTTCAACGCCATGTAAACAGCGAGGAAGAGATGCCCTGGGTGCGAGGTTGTGTGTTCTGGGCAAGAGTCAAGCTGTGGCGGCCATTTTAAAAGTCTTGTTTTCGTCTKGAAACGTTTGAGTGACCTAGTCACTTCGTTTACTCGTCTTGAAATATGGGGTGCTCTTTTGACATGATTTGTGAACGGCATATTATCGACTATGTAAACCAAATTTACGACATTGGTCATTCTTCAACGAATTGTGATCCCGGRGGATAAGATAGAATTATCGACGAAACTTGGTTGGGARCTTKGTACAGGTAAACRAGTCAGCAACATTTACATGTGAATACGACTTACTATGATCTTAATCGCTGTATTGACAATACACATTTCTTACTTGATATAATGACATAATCGTCTTTATTCAAAATCTCTCTCTAGAACTATAAATGAATACTATTTCAGCCATTTACAAATGCTTAACTTAACACAAAAGTGTTAGTATTGTCGATTATTCGTGTTTAAAATAAATATTTACAAAAAAGGTCAATGTAATTTAATCAGATTTTTACTTTTGCGATACTCAATGTTTATAAGCAAAGTCATTCTTATGTTAATTGCCAACTATCAGAAATGGCTTTCACAAGTTGCTTTGTTCTAACAGCCAATCGTCTTCTGGTTGGCACATGAATAACAAAGACTTACGTCACATTGAGTATCGCTATCTCAATCTTTGTCACTTTGTGGACAGCCGTCCTCGTTRCTATTTCCCTTTGACCTCCGCGGCCCCCTCCCGACAGGGGAGACCTACGTAGCACGCAGTTGATGTAATGTATTCATAAAATGTATTGTATTCCATTGTTTCTCGTTCTATTGTATTATGTATTTGTATTATATCTTTATGAATATATATATGATATCAAAGAGGCAAGATTTTGCTGTAACTCCGAGTTTCGTGCTACGCACTCATCAGACAGTATTTAATCTTTATGAATATATTACATCAACTGAGTGCTACGTAGGCTCTCCCCCTCCCGACAGCACATTCTCATACCCAGCCTCCCTATTGAGTTGCGCCGCTGACCATTAATATCAAGCAATAAATGATAGATTACCGTATGTTTATCGGCGAAATGAAGCACGCGGGCTGTCTGGAGAACACGAAAAAAGGCCCAAGCAATCACGAGCGTAGCGATATAGAAATTATAAGTAGTGGCATTTATAAACAATACCTACCTATTTASATTATCATTTGGATAGTTTTATTTGTTTTCTATATTTATTGTCCCTCGTTGTATCTTTGTCAAGTCCAACGGTTCYACGATATCCACCATTAGTGCTRTCATTTCCTCGTCAGTGAGAGAGTGCTGTTGTAACCTTCTGGTCAGTTGTTTGGTACGGGATTCACGGTCCAGGAACTCTTCCAGCCTTGTTTTTCCTGGTAAACGTATTTGACCTTTTGGTCGCTCTTTTGGCTCMGGTCTCTTCTCTTCAAGTTTTTTAATGGCAACAGCCGATGTGGTCTTTCTTTCTTTCTTCTCWTCTATGTCTCTTTCCTTATTTTTCTTCCTACCCCGTCGATTTCCAGGACTGTATTTTCCCAGAGTTTCCATCGGTAACGATTGCTCTTCCAATTCACCACAGGTGTCCAGGTTCCAGATTCCTTTCGATAGTGTRCTTTTAGCTGATGCGGGCCTTGTGCTTGATGTGGTATGAAAGATCTRGGATTTTCTCTTTTTCATCTTTGCATTTGTCTGGTCCATATTTCTGCCCCTTGTACTGATTTCAGTATCATCACTGTAATTCTCCACAGTTTCAATCGATTCTGCGTATTCTCCACTGGCATTCAAGCTCCATTCTCCTTGTGACAGATTGCTRTCTCCAGGGTCCCCSTCAGAGCTGGATGAGGTCTCGGAGCTCGAAGATTTTAGCTTCTTGCTTTCAATAGCCATTGCTTGGCTTTTCTTTCTGCCTCGCTTGTTTTCAGTTCTGCAGTTGATGTCACTACTTTGATCCACAGTTTCCATCAGGAACAACTGTCCTTCCATTCCCTCGCAAATACTCAAATTCCACAAACCCCTGACTCTTCTCAACATGTTGGAGATTGGAATGTACGACAAGAGTTTCTCGATAGTTCAAGATAGCTGAGCTACAAAACCTATATGTCGGTGGGTGTCCAGATTGTTTTAATTTCGAATYTTTGCAGTTTGTCCACGCAATTATGGAAAAAAAACAACATTGAAATACGTCATTGCCTGGAATTGAAAAACAACAATAGTGTCAATCTTTCTGGACTAGCCAATCAGCATCGGGCCGGTGCTTCGGTGTCCTCGTATATCCCATGTTACTTGGTAGTCTACTACACTGGAAAAAATCGCGTGTTTTAAAGGTTGTAAATTTGATGTAAATATGATGTAAGTGTCCAAAGTTCTGTAAATTTGATGTAGATGATTTCCATTAAATCCACAGTTTTTTATCCACAACCTTCAAAGCGCGCGACGTTTTCCAGTGCTAGATCAAAGAATTGACTTAAGAGGTTTACCTATTAGTGATATACTAAGGACTTCAACGAGAAATAACTKAAATCAAACAAAAATTTTCTAAGCTAATTCTTTAAAGCCATTTTTGGATATAAACAGTTGTTAATTGGACATTGTTTTCTGATTTTACCGAAAATAAATCAGTGTTACCTTGACAACTATCAAAACATCAAACATCGTTTTTAAAAACAACATCCTATATGATATCCCGTTGATCCTGAAAAAAATCAGAGGAAAATACTCGACTCTATAAAACAAACAAGCCGCTGAATTGCAACACAACTCGATGATTGATTAGTAGACGAATACGGAACGATACGATGAATCAAATTATAATTACTAAACAAATAGAATTTTAAAATTAAACGATTTATGAATATAGTTTTTTTCGTTAAAATCTAATTATTTTAACTTTGGTTCTGGATAAGAAAGGGCGAGCGCCGGCGACATAATCCCAATCTAGCCACGATTTTCATTTTCATTTGATTTTCATTTTTATTTCATTTTCACTAATTTTTGAATTTGTCATCGTAGCTTGGTGGATAAAATGTGGTCATTCCCGGCTTCGATTCCCAGGAGGATGATAATTTTTTTTATTTCTTTTTTTTTCTTTTTTTTATTATTAATTACTTTTCCCAGCAATTCTATCAAGAATGTGCACTCAGAAACGGTGAAATAAATATSTGAAAGTTGGTTACCAGTGGCGACGCCACTGTTTATATTGAAACTACGAGTGTTTGTGCAGCTAGTTTGCGTAGCGAATCTAAACATAGTAC